TGAGTATGGCCAGTTAACAATGTTGTGATAGTTTCAGGTGGACAGCAAAGGGACTCAGCCATACATAAACATGTATGTATCCATTCTCCCCCAAACTCCCTCCCAAGAATGAGCATTTTTATTTATTCTTGATTTGGGGGAAATTTTGAACCCACCTCTCTAATTTTTCCCTTGCTTGCTGCACAGAACTGCCTTTGAAGTCAATAGGAGTTGTGGGTATAAGAGTAAGAAATAATCTATGATGTTAGAGATTAGAATCGCTTTACAAATGAATTTATCTTCCTTTCTTTGTTACAGTCAGTCAGTCAGTTCAGTTGCTCAGTCGTGTCCAATTCTCTGCAACCCCATGGACTGCAGCACACCAGGCTTCCCTGTCCATCACTAACTCCTGGAGCTTGCTCAAACCCATGTCCGTCAAGTCGGTGATGCCATCCAACTGTCTTGTCTTCTGTTATCTCCTTCTCCTCCTGCCTTCAATCTTTCCTAGCATCAGGGTCTTTTCCAATGAGTTGGCCCTTCCCATCAGGTAGCCAGAGTACTGGAGTTTCAGCTTCAGCATCAGTCTTTCCAATAAATATTCAGGACTGATTTCCTTTAGGATTGACTGGTTGGATCTCCTTGCAGTCCAAGGGACTCTCAAGAGTCTTTTCCAACACCACAGTTCAAAAGCGTCAATTCTTTGGTGCTCAGCTTTCTTTATGGTCCAACTCTCACATCTGTACATGACTACTGGAAAGATCATAGCTTTGACTAGACGGACCTTTGTTGAAAAAGTAGTCTTTGCTTTTTAATATGCTGTCTAGGTTGGTCATAACTTTTCTTCCAATGAGGAAGCGTCTTTTAATTTCATGGCTGCAGTCACCATCTGCAGTGATTTTGGAGCCCAAGAAAATAAAGTCTGTCACTGTTTCCATTGCTTCCCCATCTATTTGCCATGAAGTGATGGGACCGGATGCCATGATCTTAGTTTTTTAAATGTTGAGCTTTAAGCCAGGTTTTTTCACTCTCCTCTTTCACTTTCATCAAGAGACTTTTTAGTTCTTCTTTACTTTCTGCCATAAGGGTGGTGTCATCTGCATATTTGAGGTTATTGATATTTCTCCCAGCAATCTTGATTCCAGCTTGTGCTTCTTCCAGTCCAGCGTTTCTCATGATGTACTCTGTATAGAAGTTAAATAAGCAGGATGACAGTATACAGCCTTGATGTACTCCTTACCCAATTTGGAACCAGTCTGTTCCATGTCCAGTTCTAACTGTTACTTCTTTACCTGCATACAGATTTCTCAGGAGGCAGGTCAGGTGGTCTGGTATTCCCATTTCTTGAAGAAGTTTCCACAGTTTGTTGTGATCCACACAGTCAAAGGCTTTGGCATAGTTAATAAAGCAGAAAGAGATGTTTTTCTGGAACTCTCTTGCTTTTTCGATGATCCAGCAGATGTTGGCAATTTGATCTCTGGTTCCTCTGCCTTTTCTAAATCCCGCTTGAATATCTGGAAGTTCTCCGTTCACATACTGTTGAGGCCTTGCTTGGAGAATTTTGAGCATTACTAGCGTGTGAGATGAGTGCAATTGTGCGGTAGTTTGAACATTCTTTGGCATTGCCTTTCTTTGGCATTGGAATGAAAACTGACCTTTTCCAGTCCTGTGGCCACTGCTGCATTTTCCAAAATTGCTGGCATATTTAGTGCAGCACTTTAACAGCATCATATTTAGAATTTGAAATAGCTCAGCTGGAGTTCCATCACCTCCTCTAGCTTTGTTTGTAGTGATGCTTCCTGAGGCCCACTTGATTTCACACTCCAGGATGTCTGGTTTTCACACCATTGTGATTATCTGGGTCATTAAGATAAATTTTGTATAGTTCTTCTGTGTATTCTTGCCACCTCTTCTTAATATCTCCTGCTTCTGTTAGGTCCATACTGTTTCTGTCCTTTATTGAGCCCATCTTTGCATGAAATGTTCCCTTGGTATCTCTAATTTTCTTGAAGAGATCTCTAGTCTTTCTTTTGTCTTCTTCTATTTCTTTGCATTGATCACTGAGGAAGAATTTCTTATCTCTCTTTGCTCTCCTTTGAAACTCTGCACTCAGATCTTTCCTTTTCTTCTTTGCATTCCACTCCTCTTCTTTTCTCAGCTATCTGTAAGGCCTCTTCAGACAACCATTTTGCCTTTTTGCATTTCTTTTTCTTGGGGTGGTCTTGATCACTGCTGCCTCTACAATGTCATGAACCTCTGTCCATAGTTCTTCAGGCTCTCTGTCTGTCAGAACTAATGCCTTGAATCTATTTGTCACTTTCACTGTATAATTGTAAGGGATTTGATTTAGGTCATACCTGAATGGTCTAGTGATTTTCCCCACTTTCTTCACTTTAAGTCTGAATTTGGCAATAAGGAGTTCATGATCTGAGCCACAGTCAGCTCCCAGTCTTGTTTTTGCTGACTGTATAGAGCTTCCCCATCTTCAGCCGCAAGGAATATAATCAATCTTTCTTTGTAATTTTCTTTCTTACATAGATTATCTCATAGCAGAGTTCGCTTGCTCTTTGCATCTATCCCATGGGAAAAGCTCTCTAGTTTGTGGATGAAGATGGGACACCCCAGCAACTCCTTTCCTCATGACCGGAAGTAGATCCAAGCTTTAGGATTTAGGGGCTTCCTATCAGCCTTTTTCTATAATACAGAAAAATAAAGATCTAAGTAGATAAATACTCCATGTTGTAAGGGGCCTTTTGACACAGAAAGATATGGGTGCAGAAGGATACCATAGCGAAGTTACAGAAGATGCACGACCACTGGTAAGACCGCAGTGGTACAGTACCTTCACCAAAAGCCATCCCACCATCTTTTAAATTACCCTCCCTATAAGAGGACTACTGTCCCTCCTGTCCTTTAAGTATTTTAGTTTATTTTTAGTTCTGGAATATGTTTTGATTTGAGTGACAGAACCATAATCTCTATGAATAGATAGATAGTAGGCTTCCACTGTAATAAAGTAAAATTCCTCTGGGGTTTCTATTGTTGTTCTCATATGTGTGTGTTTTGTTTTTTTTCTTTTCTTTTCAAGTCAGTATCCCATCCTTGTTGTTGTTTAGCCGCTAAGTCGTGTCCCACTCTTTGTAACCCAAGGGACTGTAGCTCCTCTCTCCTCTCTCCAGGCTCCTCTCTCCCTGGGATTTTCCAGGTGAGAATACTGGAGAGGGTTGCTGTTTCCTTCCCCAGATGATCTTCCTGACCCAGGGGTCGAACCCACATCTCCTATATTGCGAGGGGATTCTTAACGGCTGAGTTACCTGGGAAGCCCCGTCCCACCCTTCTAGCGACTCTTCTTTTTTGGAAACCATAGTTATTAAGTTGCTTCCCAACTTTGGAAGCTATGTGATTCAATATTTTTGTACTTGTGTTTCACATCTTCTGTCTTATTTTCTGTTGACAGTAATATAGGAATGGACTAATTTATTTTATGTAAACTATTTTGAAAGAGAATTAACTTATCCAGAGCTGTTTCACATTTATAGTTTTAATAAAACTGACAGTTTAAATAGAGAGACATTGTAATGAGCAATTAAATTACATTCATTTAGGCTAGGTTTTAGGAACTGGCTAAAATTTTTTAACTATTGAGAAATATATTATTTTCTTCAAAATACAACATAGAAATAATATGCATTACCAAGAATAAACTAGATATTAGATTCATAACCTTCAAAATGCCGTTTAGCTTTTAGAAATATAAAAATTGACTTCAGTGTCTTTTTATAATGTAAATTTTTGTCTACCTTGTATTTCATTTTTATGCATCTCAGAAATATTTGTGGCAAAACTCTGTTATAAATTTGATTCAAGATTACATATTTGAATTTAAAGACAGCTGATTCAATTTAAATGAAATAATGTGTTACATTGGAGATGTATATATTTACACATACATAAGGTAAGTGATTTATCACTTTAGAGAAAAGCGCTTAAGTTGATTATATTCATGGGAAAAGAAAAAATTCATGTTCTCAAGAAAAAAGAAAAATGTCTTGAATATGGTGGTTGCCAAACTGTAATGACCTCTAACTTAATCCTCAGCTTAATTCAGGTATAACCATACTCTTGTCTTCAGCATCCAGAAATATTCCAGGGGATGGCTTCTGTTCTCCAGACTTTTTCAGTTTACTAAGTTTTTCCTGCTTTTAGCATAGGAGGGAGTAGCTTCCAAACTGCTGATTTATTTCACATATTTAATATAAGGTCAAGTTTCTCCTTTAAGTATTTTCTGTCTATGAAACCTTTGATTAACTTTTCACCCCAAGCCTATTCTGTATTTTCAATGAACCTTGTTTCATCTCTTTGTTGTCAAGGTTCTCTGTCAAATATTTAAGGTGTACCTGATATAATGCAACTTCACTTCCAAAAGCTACTCCCAGGAATTGGTATTGTTTCTTCAGTTTTTATGTCATGTATTTTAAAAATGCATGTATTTTTAATTGGAGGATGATTGCTTTACAATATTGTGTTGGTTTCTGCCTTACATCAACATAATCAGCCATCGGTGTATATATGTCCCCTCCTTGATCCTCCCTCCCTCTAGGTTGTCACAAGCACTGGTCTGAGCTCGCTGTGTCATACAGAAAACTCCCACTGGCTCTTTCACATATGGTAACATACACGTTTCCCTTCTGCTCTCTCAGTTCATCCACTGTGTCCACACGTCTGTTCTCCATGTCTGCACCTCCATTGCTGCCCTACAAATAGGTTCCCCAGTACCATCTTTCTAAATTCCATATATATGTGTTAATATGCGATACTTGCTTTTCTTTTTCTGACTTACTTTGCTTTGTATAATAGGGTCTAGGTTCATCCATGTCGTTAGAACTGTATGTCATGTGTTTTTGTTGGACCTCTAAGGATCTGTATTTGGTCACGGAGGAAAGCTAAGTTGAAACGTGGCCCTTCCTAATAATTTCATTTGATGAAATGTTTATCACGTAATGAATGTTGTGTCCCCTCTCTAGATAAACGCGTCGAGAACTGGCCCCTGATGCAGTCCCCACTGCCGACGCTCTGCATAAGCACCCTGTACCTCCTCTTCGTGTGGCTGGGTCCCAAATGGATGAAGGACCGAGAGCCTTTCCAGATGCGTTTAGTGCTCATTCTCTATAATTTTGGGATGGTTTTGCTTAACCTTTTTATCTTCAGAGAGGTAGGTTTACTAAAGTTCACTTTATACTTCCTCAAGTCTGTTGCAAATTAGAAAATAAGAATGTGTTAAACTATGATTGTAGTGTTGTGCCCTAAGATAACTGTTAGCTCCTCTAAGAGTAAATTTTATGTTATTGACGTAAGCATGGATAACAAAAATCTGAAACATTCATAAAGTATAAAGACTTATTGAAAGTGAAATTTGGAAGCAGACAAACTGGATTCTAAAATAACCCTTACTAGTTTTTCTGACATTGGAAGTTCCTTAACTTTTATGAGGCTCATTTCCCCCATCTGTAAAATGGGCATAATACCTGTCTTCTAAGGTATCACAGATAAGTGAGATAATTTTTGCATTGTGTTTAGAACATATTAAGTCCTCAGTAAATAGTTGTGGCTATTTATTTATATTTCTCATTCAGCAGTTTCAGGTTTGGTAACTGATGAAAATATGCAGATGTAAAATACCGATTTCAAATTTAAATCCTACCACATAATATAATTGTATTAATATTTTAGGTTGGAACTAAAATAAATTATACAGCTGTTGCTGCTAACCAGTGGATACTTTTCTGGACACCACGAAATTCTCTATGGCATTTAAAAAGGAAATCGTAAAAGCTAGACTGACCCAACCACTTTTTAAGTTGTGAGAAACTCAACATCATAAAAAACTTTAATTTATTTGGCTACTTTACCTAATTTGTTAGATGCAATCCACTCTGGTTCAAAACTAGAAACCCATGCAACTCTTGCAGCATGGTTAATCACAGTTTCTCTTAATATTATAATACAGATAGAATGTCTCAATATTATAATACAGATAGAATGTCTCAGTCCAAATTTTACATGTCAATTTAGATTTCAATTTAATAATAAATTGACGGATAATAAATTTTAGAGATTCCAAAATATTAAATGTTTAATGCATTTGAAATTTATTTTTAAGACAATATTGCTTTAAAAAATATTTTGGAAGTTTGCACATTGTAGGTAGTGCTTTAAATGTTATATCTTCTAAAACTTTACTCCAAATGTTATTTTCTTTTTCCAGTTATTCATGGGATCATATAATGCAGGATATAGCTATATTTGCCAGACTGTGGATTATTCTGATAACGTTCATGAAGTCAGGGTAAGTATATTAAAAATACTGCTAATCAGTATAAGTTGGTTTAATTTTGTAGTCTCTAGTCTGTGAAAAATATGCTTTAATGTAGTGGTAAAACTATAGTGGGATTGTTTTGAGTCAATAAAACTACTTTTTAAAAAATATACATAACTTAAAATCCATTTTCTTCCCCCATTATCTTTTCTCATTTGGTGATTTGAGAGTGAATATGTGTTGAACTACTGAAATGCAGTACTCAAAAATAATAATAGTTCCATGTTTAGTATAAAGATTATATTTTAGATTCTTGGTTTTTTGGTTGAGAATAGAAACTCTTGAAGTTGAATTCATTTGTTAAGAAAGTACGAGGAAGACAAATATAAACTATTTAATGTTTAGTAAATTAGGCATAGCACAGCTTGTCTAGGTATAAACCCAGTTTTTATTTATATTTGAGAAAAATAGATTAGTAATACAATGTTATCATATTTTACTTTGTAGTCACCTACATCAGTAAAATTGCCATTTTACTCAAGTGAAGAAACAATACTTAATTTATTGAATTTCTCTTGTATACTGTGTTTGTATTAAACATATGTGTCTATAACATATGTTGTATATATGTATGTGTTTTATGTTAGATATGATATATGTAGCAATAATATAATATGTAGTAGCTGGCCCTGAAAAAAGAATAGCTCTTTAGCATTGGGGTTCAACAATATAAACACCAGTATTCATCAAGACCCGAGACCAAATTGCTTTAATGTATTTATGATTTTATGTCTCTGTCTTCATTTCCTCGTTGGAAGACTTAACACGCTGGTAAAAAAATGACCCTGTTTGGTTGTCACATTTGTTTTATTCATTTAACAAGTGTGTATTGACATCGGCTATACACAGCGCGCTGGTACTGGGAGCCCCAGTGGAAAGGCAGACAGGGACCCAGCCTTTGTGGAGCTGACATTCTAGCAAAGGTGGGAGAGGCAGTCGTGTAAACAAACGGTTAAAAGGGAGCTCAGACCTGAGATTGCCTGAGGGGATCCCCTTTGTTGCTCCAGAACCTTCTCCTGGTTGGAGCAGTGGAGCAGGACTGGTCTTGCTTGCATCTGGGGAGAGAAAAGGAAACGTGTGGGACTTGCTTTCTTTGAGGAGTGAGCTCAGATAAACCCTTTGGGGGAGACAACATGTTAGTATTTGGGGGATCGAGTTTTAAAAATACCACTCTGGCTATTGTGTGCCTGCCCTCCTGGCATGCATAAACTGTTGAGTTCTTTAAAAATGTAGCTGTTGTGAGGCCTGAAATCTAGGAGGAGAAAGTGTGGCAGCAGATGGTATTTGAACATTTCTTCCCTCTCTGTTATTCTGAGATGTGGCAGAATAAGTGTTTTGCTCAGAGACTCATCTGTGTATTGGTTGTTATGTAGCTAAGAAGGATCCTTTCACTTTGATGTAGCTGTCCAGTTCCTTGGTGGCTCAGATGCAAAAGAATCTGCCTGCAATGCAGCAGACTTGGGTTTGATTGCCGGGTCAGAAGATCCCCTGGAGAAGGCAGTGGCTTCCCACTCCAGTATTCTTGCCTGGAGAATCCCATGGACAGAGGAGCCTGGCGGGCTGCAGTCCATGGGGCCACAAAGAGTGAGACACTACTGAGCGATTAACACTTTCACAAACTAAAGAGAAGGATTGTTAATTACTGTTTATGACTCATTGCTAATTTAGAGTGCCAGATAAGAGGGGAAATAAGACATGACCTCTTCCCTTCTAGATAGGGTTCGCATGCTCTGTTGCTAAGTCATGTCCAACTCCACAGACTGTATCTCACCAGGCTCCTCTGTCCATGGAATTCTCCAAGCAATAATACTGGAGTGAGTTGCCATTTCTTACTCCGGGGGATCTTCCCAACTCAGAGATCAAACCTATGTCTCCTTCGTTGGCAGGTGGATTCTTTACTGCTGAGCTACCTGGGAAGCCCCTTACTGCACCAAAATGTTACACTTTAAAATATTAACATAATGGTGAATATTAAATATAGTGTTGCTATGAGTAGTTCCCTATTTCAAGTTTGTTTTCAAACAACTTCATCATTTTCAACAATGTTTTTATGCAAACAAACTCAGTAAATAATTCTCAGTTTGTAAATACATTATTTTTTTCTTTGGATGTTCTCTTTTTTCCTTGCCTACACTTTAAAACCATAATTTTGTTTTTCAAAAGCAAACAGCCAAACCCAAACAGACAGAAACCCATGGCATCCAACAGGTGCTCTTATCAAATGAAGACCCTATCAGCTCTGAAGAGCCTAAGCCTTCCTGTGAATGCATCTGCCAAACTGCTAACACACACAAGTTTACCATTAGATTTCAGTTTTGTACTGCTGCCTTTGCTGTTGGTATATGGTGCAGATGTCATAGAAAATACTTGACATAAGAAAGATGAATCTAGATTACTATTTTAGTGGGATTCCTGTGAAATATTTTAAAATGTATATACAGAGGTCACCTCTCACTGGATCCTTGGATCCTTAATCTCAGCGTGTAATGTAATCTTTCTGCACCATCTGGTGTCTTAATTAGAGCCCAGGAAAAGAAAAGACTTACTCATGTAAGCAGGATTATATTTATGACCTAGGAAATATTTGTTACGTGTTTGTGTTTATTGCAATTTATCATTTTAAAAATTTCACCACCTAATAAAAAATAATGTGGTTAAGTATTTTGTTGCACATGTTAAAGTGATAAAGAGAGACGAGTTGCTCCTCAAGCACACTTGCAAGAATCTCTGAGGCTGGAATATAGGCTCGGCATGAACAACTGAAATGCCTTTATAGAGTAAATATCTGTTTCTCTCCCACACTGGAAATCATAGCAGTTGAAAGTGTTCACAGCACTGCAGTCAGTGGGCTGGTACCCAGGACATCCAGCTATGAAACAGACTGAAAATCTTCTCTGAACTGTTGGCACAGTGTAGATATAGATTTTGAGTCTTTTATTTCCCATCATCTTCCCCATGAATAGATGCCTAGGTTTCACACCCACTTAAACAAAAATGATGCTATGCCTCATATGTTTTGTGCAGTAAAAATTGCTTAAGACTTCACTTTAGTAGAAAACCATGTGATAGTACCATTCTGGTGTTTGTGAAATGCTTTCCCTTTCTTTCTACAGATAGCTGCTGCTCTGTGGTGGTACTTTATATCTAAAGGAATCGAGTATTTGGACACGGTGTTTTTTATCCTGAGGAAGAAAAACAACCAAGTCTCTTTTCTTCACGTGTATCATCACTGCACCATGTTCACCTTGTGGTGGATCGGAATTAAGTGGGTCCCAGGAGGACAGGGTGAGCATCTTCAGGAACATGTCCCCGTGTACTAAATTATGTAAATGTGTCGGGTGGACAGTGGTGGGAATTTGACTTGGTCTAATGGCAGCCCAGTCCAGTTTTCTTGATTGGAGGATTCCATGGACAGAAGAGCCTGGCAGGCTACAGCCCATGAGACCGCAAAGAGTTGGACACGACTGAGCAGCTAACACACACACACACAAATATAACTTACTTCCAGGCTTAGTTATTCCTGTGTTAATTTAGCTTTAAAGAAATTTGAAGAAAGTAGAGCTTTAGCTGTTTATCTGTGACTACTTTCACACCTAAAGATTTACCCCAGAGATTAGCATAAATGAATCCCAAGTGTAGCAAACAGTATTTTGAGAGGGAGCAATGCTAGTGGTTCTGATCCAGAGGATACCAAGATAGAACTTCTCCATCTGAAGGTTCCATTTCTCCTGCAAGCCCAGAGCCCACTCTTGCTCCCAAATAGGCCCCAGAGCACCTACTGCTTCTTACTCAAAGGAAATGGTATGTAGCCTTCTCAGTGTTGAAGAGAATCTGAACTCACAGTTTGGCCAAGATCTGCCTCCAGCTTTTCAGATGCCTGTGCATTGGAGATAATTCACATCATTGAGCTGGAAACAGACCATTCCTCTGATGGGGACCCAGGGTACAAGTCATACTATAGTTCATCTTGCTACTTTACTTTCAAACTATTTAGAAATCTAAGAAATGAGTATTATTTTGTTGTAGCTATGTATATTGGCACATGTAAAGACAATAATGAAGGATTTACAAATCTGCTTAAATCATTATATGTACCCTGGCTTTTATTCCCCCAAGAGTAACAGAATGAAAGATAATATTGGCAGTATTAGGACCTACTTAAGTATATTAGGGCCTACTTGAGCCACTTGGATGGAGAAGGCAATGGCAACCCACGCCAGTACTCTTGCCTGGAAAATCCCATGGACGGAGGAGCCTGGTGGGCTGCAGTCCATGGGGTCGCGAAGAGTCAGACATGACTGAGCGACTTCACTTTGACTTTTCACTTTCATGCATTGGAGAAGGAAATGGCAACCCACTCCAGTATTCTTGCCTGGAGAATCCCAGGGATGGAGGAGCCTGGTGGGCTGCCGTCTATGGGGTCGCACAGAGTCGGACACGACTGAAGCGACTTAGCAGCAGTAGCCGCAGAGCCACTGAGGAAGTCCTTTGCCTTTGAAGAACACCCATTTTTATTTATATGGTTAAAGCTGGAGTCTAAACTTTAAAAATATTCGGCATGATCTTAAGAGAAGGCTTGTCCATTAGAACTGTTTTACAACTTTTATTTCTCGTCTATACTCAGAATTAAATGTTGGAAAATAACGTAGATTCATTTGTTTTACGTTCAGATGGTTTATCACCTAAATAAAGATTTCTGTGTCTTGTATCACCTCTTTTTCTAAAGCATTTTTTGGAGCCCAGATGAATTCCTTCATCCATGTGATTATGTACTCATACTACGGGTTAGCTGCCTTCGGCCCGTGGATTCAGAAATATCTCTGGTGGAAACGATACCTGACCATGCTGCAGCTGGTGAGTTCTCTGTTAAAACACGAAGAATGTTAGACTCTTATTAATTGTGAAGTGCTGAGTCATTTTCAACCATTTTATGTTACCAAACTGGCTTTCTCTGTGCTCCAGCAATAGGAGTTTAGGCTGTCTGGCTCTGAGCTGCCTATTCATAGGCTGAGTGCTCACAGACTCTTGCTTTTTAAATTAAAAGGCCAGATGCAGGTCCTGTCTGTCTAATAGGAATATCCTGTAAACATCTCTGTGAAATGAAGGAGTAAAGATCTAGGCACGCTGCAAAATACACACTCGTTTATGATTAGAAAAATAACTTCTTAGTTTTTTTTCCACTTAAAATGTTATTATTACCTCTCTTCATTCTGCCCTTAAATACATTTTCTGTTTTTTTACTCCCATCTTTCGTCCTTGTGAACAGATCCTACACATTTAGAATAGGAAAGTTGTAGAGACATCACAGAGCCCAGGAAGGGGTGGGGTAAAGGATGAACTTCCCTGGCCGCCCAGTGGTTAAGGCTCCATCCTTCTACTGCAGAGGGTGCGAGTTTGATCCCTGGTCAGGGATCTAAGATCCCATATGCAGCGCTGTGTGGCCAAAAAATAAATAAGTTAAAGGACCAAGGATCAAAGAACTCTTAAATCCCTAACACACAATCCTTAGAGAGCAGAGCTTGGTATATTCAAATGCTCATCTTCAGACCAGACAGTTCACAGCACCAACCCCTAGTAGGACTTCTGGTAGCATCTGGGTGACTCAGTGCAACCTTCAGAGCTAAAGCACCAGCCCAGTAATCAAACTGGAAATCCAAAACCAACCTGGTAGCTATTCTTCAAGCCTTGGAATTTATTATAATTTGCTTTAATCATAGCATGTGCACAATTTTATCAGTGGAATCACATTTGGAAATATCATTCATCTCTGTTTTAAGTTGCCAAACAACAGGCTACCCAAACAGGAAGCACAGCTTTTGGAGAGTGCTGGGTGTGCAGGATTCATCTGCAAGTAAAATGCTACCGGAAGCTTCCTCCAGTTTTTGTGTAACCTGTTTACACAGTTTGTGTAATTCGTTTCTCTCAGTTGTTAGTAAGTGGGCCCAAGAAAATGAGAAGACAGAAATCATGTGAACTGTTGTTATCTACTTTGCGGGAAGACTGCACCTGATTCTCTTTGAGCGATGCCTGGCTGTCACCCCCAGACACACCCTTTTCCAGCGATGCAGGTTCTAAGAATCATTGTGAAATCAAAAGTTCGTAAAAGCTGGATTTTGCCACAGGAAACTTTTGAAGTTTTTTAGTATGATAGAAATTTGGAGCTTTACATGGATAAACTTTTAAAATTGTTTAATGTAATGTAATAATTTAATGTAATAATATTTAATGTAATAATGTAATAATAATGTAATAATATTAATGTAATAATATTGATAATGCTATCCTTAAAAGAGAAGCTGCAATTGCCCATTTTAAATAGGGTGTTAATTTTGTGAGGGGTAGTGTATTTCCAAGGCAGAAGTTCTCACAGCAGTGAATCTTGTATGTTAACCTTGTGAAAAATTAAGTGTTGTTTAACCCCATGGAATTCACAAATTCTTACATTGAGAACCGTCCTCTCCTTTTATACTTATTATCAAATATCTACTAAGTTTTACCAAGAATCTTAGTTTTTAAAGGATTATGTTAATTCAATTTTTAATTAATTTCAAAATGCATATTTACCTGTCTCCAATTCTATAAGAAACAGATAATGAGCCATTTTGATAAACTCATTTTTAAAAGTATATGTACCAGCTTGCTAACAACTTTGTGGAAAGAAATCAGTCTATTTGGGAGGAAAACAAAAACTGAGGAGTCTTCACTCTCTTAGGCCAGTGATATTCCCTCTCATTAGATAACGTTATTCAGCGTTATCCAAAAAATAATTCCCTGGGTCCAGATACCAGGCCAAGGGCCCGGGAATCGTGGGGATGAATGCAGAGCGCTGCCCTCAGGTGGTACTCGAGGGGAGAGACGGACAGTCCAGAAGTCAGCAGATGCAAAAGACATAATCCCTACGAAACAGAAAAGCAGCCCAAACCAGAACCCTTTGGTTAAAGGCATGGAGGACCCCATTGGGTGGGGGTACTTGAGTCTTAGCAGGAAGCCCTCGTTGAGGACATGGTTTTGAGAAGCGGCCCACGTGAGAAGGAGCCAGAGAACACTGAGGTCTTGGGCACTGGGTCAGGCACGGGCCTGTCTCAGCAGCAGGGAAGGTGCTGTGGTCGGGACGAGCTGCTTGCTGCCCACAGTAAGCGTGGCTGTGCTGTTCTGTTTTCAGGTTCAGTTCCACGTGACCATCGGGCACACAGCACTGTCACTGTACACTGACTGCCCCTTCCCCAAGTGGATGCACTGGGCTCTCATCGCCTACGCCATCAGCTTCATATTCCTCTTCCTTAACTTCTATGTGCGGACGTACAAAGAGCCCAAGAAAGCAAGACCTGGAAAAACAGCGGCGAATGGTATTTCAGCGAATGGTGTGAACAAATCCGAAAACCACCTAGTGGTAGAAAATGGCAAGAAGCAGAAAAATGGAAAAGCAAAAGGAGAGTAAAGCGAACTGGGCCTTACCTGGTGTTGACAGTGAGGAAGTTCCCACTTCATTTAAGATTTCAGGGAAAACAGAAGCAAATGAGGGTTTGACGGGTGGGGATAAAAAAGGCAAATGTGCTCTATGTATTATTAGTAACCTTTAGATTGAGTAAAGTGTTAAATACAACACCCAGATGTTTTATTTATGAAGTTTTTATTTTAAACATTTTTTTTTTATTAGCCTTGATGTTGTCAGACCAAAGCAATCATCACGTGATTTTGGAGACCCCCCCCCCCACATTCACATCCAACAATGCATGAGATTTTTCATTTCTCTTCATCCTTCAGTTTGATGATCACAGAAACACAGTCTTTATGCTTTTTTTTTTTTAAGCTAAATTGCAACTTATGTACTGATGAAAATCAGTTACCTTACCTTTTCTGGTCCCAAACTGGAAATGCAGATAGTTTAAAATGTGCACATTTGAATTCATTTGCTTACTGGAATGATCAAATCTCTCCACCTGTAGTCCGAAGATACCCTTTTGATTGGAATTAAATTTTAAAAATCTGATGATCTTTGTAGACTCTTAGAGGCTTTATGATGATGGTGTTGGTGACAATAGAATTACAGTAAAATCCTGTCCAGTGGCTCAGTTCACTGTGACCTGCAGCACAAATCACTGTGGGAAACAATTTTTGTGATGAAAAGGCAGCCTTTCAATACTCCTGTTACTACTGGGTATATATTATGAAATTTAAGATTACTGTCTGATTGAAACATGAAACAACTCATGTGTCTACTAGTAACATCATAAAATAGCTACATTTATGTGCTGTTAGAAGAGAGTATGTTGATTTTTATCAGGCTTTCCTTGTTTTGATTTGTGGCTGTTACCGATTTTTCATATGTGGAAATATACCTACCTCTTCTGTTGGAAAGAACATTTAAAATTAAATAAATTTTAATTAAAAAATCAAGGAGTCCTCTAATGTAAATTTTAATACTAACTTTCAAATTCACTTTTTTTTTTTTTTTACAAATAGCATACAGCAAGCTTTTTTGTGAAATTATCCTTCTCTTTCAATGTGTTTAACTTTGGAGTGATATTTTTCTGTGACAAAGTTGCAAGATCTTATTTGTAACTAGATATGAAGTGTAAACCTGTTTTGGTGCAATATTCTTGACTCCTTGGTGCTAAAGATCATTAAATTCAATGCTTGATTGTTAAAAGGTGTTAATTGCTAAGACATAAAGTGAGTAAAAGTGAGGGTAGTCAGAGCCAGAAAATTAAATTTGCTCTTTACCAATGAAGTATTTCATGTAATGTAAAAACACAACTGGAAATTCACTAGGAAAGAACTTGTACTATGTCTTATTACATAGGTTAAATTGCTAGTGGGTATTGCACAGGGATCTTGTGACCAAAAAATAAAAAGGCATGAGTATTTCTAAGTATCTTTAACATATCAAAACTGCATGTGCAGGATGTAATGCTATTTGTGCAGACTATTTGAGAATACTTTGTAAACTATGAAATATTTATTGTGCATTCAAATTACACACTTCTCCCCCCCACCCCAACCCAAGGCATGCAGACATGAGAACTACAGAAAATTTGCAGCACGTAATAGTTTGATCTAGGAGGATTCAACACTTTTGTTTTTACAACTCAGTTTGTAATGACTAGAGATTTGTAAATCTTTGTGAACATTCTGTACTAGTTCCCTAGAGCTATTCATTCCCTGCTACCTGATTTCAGCACAATAAATATACTACTGCTGTGGGAAAAATGATTTTTTTTGGCTACTCAGTTTATTATAATATAAATCTGCTAGATATTTATTTATTTAATTCAGTTGTTAATATTCTAAATTATTCCCTGCTGCCAATTTCTAGTGTAGAAAAGAAATGAAACTAGAACTTGGGTGTCAATAATTTCTGGCAAAAAGCTTATTTTTTTATGGTAGCATATTTTTACTTTAAAACTTAGATGTTTCTTTGGAAGAATTTTTGGATTCCTGGCATATCATTTTGTTGTGAATTCTTACATTTGTCATTTCAAATGTAAGCTTTTTTTTTTTTTTAAAGAAACTTTTAATTTTATATTGGAGTGTAGTTGAGTAACAATGTATTGGTTTTAGGTGTACAGTGAAGAGATTCAGTTCTGCATATACATGTATCTGTTCTTTACCAAATTCTTTTTCCATTTAGGTTGTCATGTAATATTGAGCAGAGTTCCCTGTGCTATACGGTAGTAGGTCCTTGTTGGTTATCCATTTTAAATATAGCAGTGTGTACATGGTAACACTTTTTAACGGTGTGCTGTTTTTTGTTCTAAAAATAAAGTTAGCAAGTTCTCCTGTTCTGATATTCAAATCCTCCAGTCCTTGTTATACTTTAAGTTTTCTTTTTTTTTTTTTTTTACCAAAGATGATTTTAAGATGTAATAAATACAGCCTTTTATGAGCACTTTCATAATTTCTCTATTACCCCACTAAATACACATGCCTCTTATGTAAAAATCAGTGAGGAGGATTGCATCCTCTTTCTGGTAAAACTTTGTCAGTAACTTAAGAAAAATATTCTTAGAAAACAGGGAATTTCTGAAATATTTGCATTGACTAGAAATAGCTGAGGCGTGTTAGCAGTGTGTTTTCCCAATGAATTGATAACTATGGCTCTCTTTCTTCTTTTTTCTGTGTTACCCCTGACTCTGCTTTTCTGCTGGACACTGACTAGTTCCAGTTTTAGCATTATTAATTCAGTTATTCTCTTTTTCACTCTTTCCACACATACTCTGAGGCATTCAAACATATTTTCCTATAGATTATTATATTCACATTTTAGAACATGAAATCTAGCAGTGCTTTTTTATTTATCAGGAATATTTTAATTTAAAGGCTTGCTTCATGTAGGTTAGTTGGCTCAGCCATGTCCGACTTTTTGCGGCCCCATGGCCTGTAGCCCACCAGGCTTCTCTTGTCCGTGGAATTCTCCAGGCAGGAATGCTGGAGTGGGCTGCCATTCTCTCCTCCACTTCTTCCCGACCCAGGGATTGAACCCGGGGCTCCTGCATTGCAGGCACATTCTTTATCATCTGAGTCACCAGGGACACGCTTCATAGAGGGATACCCTGTAAATGAGAAAGAGAACCTAGAGATGGAGGTGATTTTTGCTGCCATATCTGTTAATAATGTAATTGAAGCCTTAGGTATTGACTGTTGGGGCAGAGCCTTTGAATCTCACCTTCATTAGAATGTGACAGCATGCTGAACTGTTCACAGTCTCTCAGCTCATCCCTTGTTATGGCCTTAACCTCAGCCAGCCGTGTTTGTAACATTGTCCTTACTGAGAAAAAGATGACGGTGGATGTATAGCTGTAAGTGATATCCTCACTATAGACCTGGGTGACTCAGAGTTAGGATTTTGCTGGATGATCAACAGGGTCGAAGAGCTGAGAGGCTGAGCAACCTGCCCAGGCACACAGCATCTGAGCAGGAACCACAAAACCTGCTTGATGAGATCAGTCATCTGCCACTCAGCATGTAAGTAGTTTTGACAGGTAACCTCAGAAAGCAAGTCCTTACTACTGGATTTTACAATCCATCCTTAAATTAATCTCAGGTATTTTAGGCAGGGGCTTCCCTGGTGGCTCAGCAGTAAAAGAACCCACCTGCCAATGCAGGAGATGTGAGTTCGATCCCTGGGTCAGGAAGATACCCTGGAGGAGGAAATGACAACCTATTTCAGGACTTTTGGCTGGAAAATCCCATGGACAGAGGAGCCTGGCGAGCTGTATAGTCCACGGGGTAGCGAAAGAGTCGGACACAAATTAGTGACTAAACAGCAACAACAGTTTTAGGCAGAGGACATCTGACCCAGAAGAATCTTTGTGAAAAGGAAGAAATGTAGAAACAGATGTCTTGTGTCAAAACACTGCAGATCACGCAAGTATTTTTCAGGTCGGTTTTCCTGATGTAAATTATAGAGGGAATGCACAAGTGTCAATTGAAAGGCACAGCTGTTTTTTTTTTAAGTTTTTATAATAGGAGGCTGTAACATAACCCTGTGTTCCTGAAGGGTATTCAGAGGTCTAAATTAAAAGTTACAATTGACATAGAACAAATACCAGGTGAGGACCGTGACGTTTGAAGAGACGGTAATAGCTTTGTTTGGATGGTGACTAATATCCATCCTGGCAGAGGGATGATCTGAATTATTTCTTGGTGTCCTTTTACACTTACAGGTCTAAATTTTGCTGTATCTTTTGAGAAATTAAACATTTTTCTACCAGTTTAAAAGAAACCCCAGAACTTAGGTTTCCTTTTTTCTCTGTCTTCTTCATTTTACGACAGAGACATGTTTACATGTCCACGTGTGACTAGAGTTTCCTTCATAACGTTTATTCATTGGCGATCCACCTGATCTTAAATTGAAATTCAACTAGAATTTTTTTATTTTTTCTATTTGCATAAGTATGTGCATGCATGTCACTTCAGTCATGTCCGACTCTTTGCGACCCTATGAGATGTAGCCCGCCAGGCTCCTCTGTGCATGGGGATTCTCCAAGCAAGAATACTGGAGTGGGTTGCTATGCCCTCCTCCAGGGGATCTTCCCTGGTCCAGGGATAGAACCCACGTTTCTTGCATCTCCTGCATTGGCAGGCCGGGTTCTTTACCACTAGCACCCTCATAGGTGAGGTTTCCCCAAAGAATGTGTCCTTAAAGCAGTATCTTCTTTAAGAATAAATTCATGCTGAAACACATCATTTGATGTCTATCTACCTAATTATAATCTAATGCAGCTATCAGAAAGTCACATTGTAACTGAACATCTCCACAAAGAATATATCCACATTAAAAACTAAAATGAAAAACTCTGGGAAGGTTTAAATAATACAACCGTTTCTAAAAAGACAAGGTCTTGAAATGACTGGATATCCCACTTTAAATACAAGACTGCATTGTAAAAAGTATTTGTCAGCCCACAGGCATGTTCTGTATCCACTGTCAGTCTC